AAAGCCAGCAGATTTTGAAGCTACAAATGAGCAGTTTTTAAATATTCTGACGGAAATAAATGACTATTTTATAAAGATTTGTCAAAATATTGATAACAATGTTAAATATTCAGTATCAACCGCCAGTGGGCCATACTTTCTCATTATACTTAACGGACGAAATTAAATTCCTACAAATAATTAATAATTTAATTAATACAACGGCAACGGGTGAAGATGAAATACCCACGACGGTGCTAAAGCATTCTGCAAGGTACTTGGTTAAACCGCTAACGCATTTAATAAACACATCCTTCACTGACGGTCGGTTTCCGGATGAGTTGAAAAAGACAGTAATAATCCCAATCTATAAAAAAGGAGACAAGTCCTGCTATGATAACTATCCAATAGCACTCATATCGAATCTTGCAAAAATTTATGAGAAGCTTGTACACAACAGAATTATAAATTATTTAAAGAAATATAATATATTGTACGAGAATCAAAATGGTTTTCGAAAGGGAAGAACCACCGAACTTGCAATGTTTCAACATCTTGGGATTAAATGGAAAACAGACCATAACAGTATTGTTCATGGATCTTTATTATTATTACTGCCGGAATAACGGGAGCGGCCCCTCTCGTTACCGCGAACTATAAGATCTATTGTAACTTTAGCCCTCCAAAGGTTTAGGGCGAATGTAGGTCCTTGATGAACCTTAGTATTGTCCTGAGGTCTTGAACCTTTATGTCGGTAGGTGTCAAGGGAGTTTTACCAAAAATATTGTGTCTTAGACGACCTCTGGCGACGCAATTGGACAATATACAATATGTTCAGCAGTTTCTGACTAGTCGTTGCATAGTCGACAAGTTTGATCCTCAGTTTGTCCAATGTGGAAGAGGCTGTATGTTAGGGGCGCATGGCTGGTCAGGTAACCTGAGAGCCTTTGATGAGGCATAAAACCTCTTTGGTTTTGTTTTGCGACGGAGTTATCATACTCTTCGTTTGTCTGTGACCTGGAAGTTCTTTCCAGCTTAAGGCTCCCAATTGTTGATTATTTGTTTTAGGTGACTGTCTGTGAAAATGTTTATGGATGCACCTTTCTGTCCCTTCTGTAGGTTCAAAGCGGTGCAGAAGTTTCTAGCAAGAATTTCTGCTTGGAAAATTGTTATGTCCGAGCTGAGGGGCAGTTTAATGTGGCTATTTGGTCCACTGATGCCTATGCCTATTCCGGATCTAACTGTCTTTGAAGCATCGGTGTACCAGGCTAGGGCTCCTCTTTTTAGTTGAGGCCCTCCTTGAGGATTTCGAGGTGTCCTCTGAGGTTACCCTGCATCAACTTGTGTGAAGAAAGTGATAAAGCACTTGAACCTGCCTTCTTTTGTATATATAAATGTAGCGGTGTGAGACCGAGTAGGGCTTCCAAAGCAGCCGTCGGACAGGATCTCATTGCACCCGTTGCAATTGCCTCCTCTAAAGTGTAATTGTTGATTTTGCTTTCTGGTAAGCATCTTGGCTAGGGTGGAGTGGATTAGTGACAAGCACTCCATTCCTCAGGTAGATAGCTAAAGCTGTAGCTAGCTATATATAGGGATATTATTACTGGGAGAAGGTCTTCTAAGCCTTTTTGCAGAAAAATAGGCAGAATTCCATCTCCTCCAGGCGATTTTAGGGGCATGAAATTAGAAACAGCCCACCTTACTCTGTTGGGTGTAAAAATGTTCCCAGCTATGCTTCAGGGTCGGCATTTTCATGGATCTTACAAAACCCTTTGATAGTGTACATCATTCAATACTTTTGACCAAATTGGAGAGACTTGGCTTTAGAGGTGTTAGCTTGTCATGGATGAAATCCTATCTATCAGGGAGGTTACAATGTGTAGTTGCCAACAGTGAACAGGGAACAGAAATAAGATCAGCTTGGAGGGAAGTCAAGCTGGGAGTACCTCAGGGTTCCATATTGGTTCCTCTATTGTTTCTCCTATATGTGAATGACTTACCACGTGTAACCAACAACATTACGATCACGTTTGCGGATGACACAACGACCGTGGTGAGGTGTAGCACTGATTATGAAATCCAGAAATCACTTACTGAGGATCTGAATAAACTTGCGGATTGGTTTGAAATCCACAACATAAAATTAAGTACAAAGAAAACGAAAATTGTTAACTATCACTTATGCTCTAACCAGATCAAGGCGAGGTGTAGGGATACTAAGATTGCCAGTTTTGAAGAGATTTCGTTTCTAGGTTGGAAAATGGATCCTGGACTGTCTTGGACCAATCATATTGATTTCCTTGCTGGCAAGATCAGTCATTTTTCATATGCTATTCGGATTATTTCCAGATCAGCTGGCATTGAAGCAGCATTAAATGCTTATTATGCGTATGTTCATTCCTTGCTAAGATATGGAGTTGTTTTTTGGGGCCATGATGTTGGTATAGATAGAATCTTCATACTACAGAAGAGGTGTGTAAGAGCAATCTTTGGTCTAAAAAATACTGATAGCTGTAGAAGTTACTTCAAAGACTATAAAATACCTACCTTGTATGGAATTTATATTTTGGAATGTGCCGTATTGGTTAGGAAGAATTACTTTGAATTTTTCAAAAAAATATGAAATATCACATCCTCGAGACACACGCGGGAAGATGAACTGCTATCTGGTGTCACCAAAAACGCACCTTACTAAGGTTAAATTGACGCACTCTACGCTTTTTTCTGTAAAATGGAGTAATAAAGTATTAAAGTAAAATTAATATATAGAACGAAGTCCCAATATGATAGAGATACCAAAATTATTGATATATTTGAAAACATTCATTGTTTTATTATTCTTACCTTGTTGTTTACAAAGGAAATAAACAAAGAATCTAATTCATAAAGTGAGAACGAGGTTACCAAGCCTACAAACACAATCAATTATAGATTTTCTCCAAAAACACTTTCTCAGCGAGCCGCACGAAATTGTCGTTCTATTAATAAGCAAATGTGTCTCGTCACTACATGAAACAATGAGGTCCCTCCAATGGGTATCTCACAAATCGAGTTATAAATTATTTGAGTTCCCTGCTACTCCGGAATTTCTCTACAACATTGATATGTATTCAAGCTACGAAAATGAATCAAAATTTCATTTGCCCAATGAACAAGATTTAAGCGCGTTAACTAAGGTTGTTCTACGAATACGTGGTTTTTATACAAAAATTATAAGTTATTATGGAAAAACTAGTTAAGGTAAAGTTTCTCTATCTGATCTCTATCTGAATGATGTTTTAGAGGATACATAATAACAACTGTGTTATGTTTTTGGGCATCTTAAATTGTATAAGGTTGTACTCAAAATCAAGATCAAGAAATTTATGAAACATGGAGAAGTGTATTTTTCTAAGACATGTGTCAAAAGCTGGTTAGATCAGTAAGAGGGCGCTTGGCTGAATATAACTGTAATACTGTGGTATGGACATATTAAAGACAAAGTGGCAAACTGTCCCAGTTGAATCAATTTATCTATCCTTAAATAGAGCAACTTATAATTGGCGCGATTTACTGTTATAATTTTTATCATGCACTGCTGATGTGATAGGAATCAATGTAGTAAAGGCCTCAGCGGATAGGAATCAATAAGTTCATTGATGTTCGAAGAAGCAGTTTGGTTTTAAAACCGAAATTAACATTGATATCATTTTTTTGGGTTGGAAAGTTACTTCTACCTTTATTTGCGTACTTGGCGTTTTTGTCAAAATGCAACTTAATCTTAACCAAAGGCATTTATTTAGCTTCAATTGTCGCTATTGTTTACAGATTGAACTCGATTTATCTCTCCAGTCTCAGTTTTTATCTGTAGTTGACCAAATGCCGAATTTCCCATTAAACCAGTCAATGATGTATTGTTTGAGCAACCAAAAACATTACTTAAGTGATGAACGCTGTATTTTTGCATGTTTGAAATGGGTTAAAAATATGTGTATTTATAATTCATAAAAACATAAATATAGGGTTTGACAGATCTATTTCTTATTATTACAGTTTCCTGTAAATTATAACTAAAAATTAAAAAAACATATTTGAAACAAATACATTTGTTGAACTATTTAATTTATATTTGTTTTACACAAAAGTTGTAATAGATTGCATTGTTTCACATTTTTTTATTAATATTTAATCTTATTATTAAATGACTTAATAAATTATTAATAGATGGCGCTCATATATATATTTTTTTTAATTCAAATAAACATAGCAACATTTGTTTGTATTCAAAGATTTTCTGAAGTGTCAAATTAAAAATCCTGTTTTTTAAGATAAATTACGAAAATTACGAAAAGTTTAACATGTTAGAATATTACATATTAGAAAATAAAGTAAATTTTATATACATTTTTAGTAGAATAATTTTTAGTTATAGTAATTTACAGGAAACTGTAAATTTAATTTCTTTGACGACACTAAAAAAAAGTCTATTTTTAGGTTTATTCTAAAGCAATAAGAAATAGACCTATTTAACTCCATATTTTTGTAATCAGAAAAAAATAGCGCTTTGAGGTTCTTGGCATCAGCAGTTTCTCGAAAAACGAGATCATGACATGTAAGCTACTTTTTTTCTAACTCTTATAGTTTCCAAGATAGCCTATTCGGACATCGAATTTGAACCACCCTGTACTGTTAAGCAATATTCAAAATGTTGGAATGAGGTTCAATCAGTCTAAATTTAAACTTTTTGTGTATACTCTTTCCAGCAGATAATGGAACACAGTTTAATGCATTTCTTGAATATAAGTTGGCATAAAACACATGAATTGCAAATTAATATCGCAATTATTAAAATGTTGATCGTAATTAATTGCGTTATTAAACTTAGTTATGTTTTGAAATAATACAACGATGATGCATCGTTAAAGCACAAGGCATTAAAGCGGAATAAATATATTTTGTAACAAAATTATATTTATTAAGGCCTCTAATATTAATATTAGATAACATTAATATATCTTGAATTCTTTATTTTTTTATAATAGCTTGTTGGGAATCAGATCCACACCATAGACCATCATTTGAAGAAATTCTCCACGCTTTAGAAGGAATAGTAAATTCGGCATTTACTCAAACACCTCACGAAAGTTTTCATACGATGCAAGACGATTGGCGGCAAGAAATCGAAGCGGTCCTCCTTGATTTGCGTAATAAAGAAAAGGTAAAATAGTAAATTTTCGACGATACAACATTAAATTGTGTGTATCGTATTATTTCACGCTTCTTTGCTTTTTTTACACTCTTACTTATTCGATTCATATTTCATCCTTTGCCGCTGCTCTGTAAATCAGGCATGTAAAACGTACGAGGAGGTAAATAAATTGGATTTTTTTCTTAAAAACGAACCGGGTTTTATTAAAATAGCGAATTCATGTTTGTTAGGAATTACGATGTCGAGAGGAGGATCTTTATAAAGCCCAAATACAGCATAAAATGCACGAAGAGAAGTTGAGGAAACGAGAACAAGAGTTACAAGCGAGAGAATATGAATTGTTGGAGAGAGAGTTGGATTTTATGATTAAACAGCAAGCACCTACACCCAAAAAAAGAAAAGGTTGGTTTTTTGGCTGGTTAAAATGTTTTTTTTTAACGTATTTTTTTGTGTTTTAGGTAAATTTAAACTTAAAGAGAAATTGAAGAAAGAACCTGGATCGATTATTAGTTCACCGTGCGATTTTCAACATAAAATCACCGTTCTTCCTTTGAATCAACAGATAGCATCTCCTAATAGTCCACCTGGTTCACCTGCGATACCTCGTTTACAAGCAATAGTTCGTGAGTAACATCATTCTTATTAATAGTAAAATAACATTAAAAACATAAATAGTTATTACTTATTACATCAAGCATGTAATTTGTTTTATTTTTTTTTGTTTGTTGCGTGGTATCGAGTGTCTTGATGCATGGTTAAGAATAAAATTGATGATGAGAGTGTGTTCACAGTTTTTTTGATAGCTTTATTCGTATAATATAGAGATTTAATAGATTTAACGTATAACATTTTTGATGTCGTGTGAAGAAATGAGATCAAATAACTTTTTTTTTTTTAATTTTTTTGTTGTAGTATTTGCACTTATGATTTTAATTGGTTTTCCCTTTTTTTGTTAATGATTAGATCGTATTATTTTTGCTTTGCATCACTCTTCCTTTTCTCACGGTTAAAATTTCGTTCTATATGATTTAGGAGACAAAATTATAAAAAGATTGAGAGGAATTAATTTTAATTAAGGATTGTTTTGAAAAGTTATTTGATATCATTTAGGAGTGATTTGAATGAAATTAAGGAAGTAAAAAGTCAAAGTTAAGAGAAGAAAAGAATAAAAAGAATGAGGGTTGGGTTTGTATTGTGAATTTCAGTGCCGCCGGATGGCGTAAAAGGGAAAACTTGGGGTCCTAGCACGTGCCACCAGCGGGAACGCGGCCAAATACCAATGTTGCGTTCGAATCCGAGGGCTGGGATCAGCTCGGTGAGCGCCCCAAACCTGATCAGGCCTCGTTTAGCGATCACCAGGCCAGCCCACGACATAGGTAATGCAAATCGCCCCCCGACCACCGCCGACAATAACAACCGAAATGGCCGCAAATTGTCTAACGGCGGCGGTAGCGAAAGCGGCGGAAGTAGGGACAACATCTTTCAGCTTGTATTGAATAAAGTAACGGCGTTTACGCACACCGATTTTAAACCGTTTAAAACAACCAATAGTAGTAATAATATGAATAATAGTAATAATAACGGTGGTCGGAAAGGAAGCACTAATAACGCCCCCGCCTTTCGTAACAATAGCTACCCTTCGAGCGAAGCGCAGCTCTTGGCTCGAAACCGGCTGAGCAGGTCGTTTGGGAATATTAACGAAACTCACACGTACGACACAGTTTTTGCCAATAATAGTTTCGTTATTGCTCGCGGAGTTCGCAATAATCCTAATTACGTTAATACTAGGGAACGTAGTTTACCAAGAGATTCGAGAAAATAAAACTTTAACAAACGTTTTTATAGAATAAATTCAATTTATATTAAAAAAGTGAAAAAGTTTACAAAAAGAAATATTAATTTATATATTTTTTTTTCTTTCGTAAGGCGTCTCTAAGGAAAAGTTACCTGTTATGTGTAAGTTTTGAGTTTTTTTCTGAGAAGAGAAGCAGTTTGCTTTGTTTTCCCCCTATATATATACTTATTTTTTTTTTTTGAAACTTTTTTGGGTGTATTGATAAAGAAATTATATCAAAAATAGTGTTTTAATTTATTAAACAGAGTTATTCGAAGCTGTATTCATTTCATTTTATAATTTAGGTTAAAACTTCATCTTGACTCTATTTCATCTTATTGAGAGACACTTTATAGAGTCGTTATAATATAGTTTATCCCTGCTTTTTTGCTTCAAATTCTTCTACTTCCGTTTTACCTTATCTAGGAAATATAACCCCATTCCCAGACCATAGTTATACAGGGTGAGTTATTAGTACTAAACCGTTTGAACACCCTGTATATTTTATCATATTATGAATACAACTAAATTTGTTTATACAACCATATATGTTACTATTTCACAGCGTTTATAGTTCCTGAGATATTCAATTGTTCTTAACCGATAAAAAAAAACGTTGTTAAAAACGATGTAAAAACGACATTTTTGCCTTGAAACTACGTCAGACAATAGTCAAAGCCAGTAGATAGATGTTAGTATTCAAAGATATTAGATACACTATACACGGTGTTTGAAAAGCTCAGTTACTTTTGACGTTTTTGGCTTTTTCTTAAGTTTTTTTAATGGAACACCCTGTATATTGTGTGCCAGTTGAATTGCTCATCAAGTTCCCTTTAATTAATGATAATTATGTCATATGTCTAACTTTAATAGCTTTCCTGATATTTACAATTTAAAGAAAAATGTGAAATAAAGTGTCATTATTATACTTAAAAAAGTGACAGAATGTAATATACAGGGTGCTCATTATGTTTGAAATATAGCGTATATAGCGTACTTTATAAAAAAACATTTTATACAAAAGTTGTTTAATATTTTATTTGCCACAACAAGACTGTATTCAATTGTTTTTAATTCAGAAAACAAATGAGTAACGAATAATACTTCAATTTTTTTAAATGTCATTTGATAGAGATAACTTTTCTCTTTACGATGGCGTAAAAATTTTGTACCCTTACATCAAAAAATTTTTGAAAAATATGGAAAAATTGTTTATTAATAAAAATTAATCAATAACATTAATCTAGATATCGGAGATCGTCAAGTACCTCGAATTATTACCGTAAATTAAATTTACATACCAAATAAACGAAAAATTAGTGTTCATCTCCAATAATTCGAGGTACTTGACGATCTCGGATATCTAGATTAATGTTATTAGTTAAAGTTTTTACATTTTTTTTAAACATTTTCTGATATAAGGGTTCTAAAATTTTACGTCATCGTAAAGAGTAAAAAAATCTCTATCAAATGAGCCTAACGAAAGGGTCCATTTAAAAAACTTCAAGTGTTATTCGTTGCTCATTTGTTTTCTGAAATAAAAACAATTGAATGCTGTCTTATTATGGCAACTAAAATATTAAACAACTTTTGTATAAAATGTTTTTTTTGTAAAGTTGATACATACCAAGATATATACTATATTCCATACATAATGGACACCCTGTATTTGTTTGTCTGTCATTTGTAAATCAGTAATATTATATTAAAACAGAATTTAAAGAAAACTTAATAATAATAATCAAAACGTGATAAAAATACAAATTAAGGCCAACTTTTACCACCTCTTGATAAATTTATCCGATAGATAAATCTAGCTCTCATCGTTACTACCATCTTCTAATTAAACTATCTAAGGGATTATTACCATGGTTACGGCTATTTTACGCGCTATGATTGGCTAGTACATGGGTTTATCTATAAGATAAATTTAACTAAAAGATGGTAGTAATGGACCTTAGCCAATGAGAGCGCTTAAAATCTCCGTAACCATGGCAACTATCCTCTAGATCGTTTATCAGGAGGGTTGTAAAAGTGGGCTTAAATGGCATAACAATAAATTCCTTTTTTAATTACTAAATTATTTGAAAGAAATGCAGCAACAAACTATAAACAATTACTAAACGTTGCTCAACAAATATGTATTAGTTTAATTAATATTTAGAAGTTGTTTAAATGCCGCCCATTTTCTCTTCTACAATCATTAATGCGCTGTATAAAAGATCTTGAGGTATCTCTTAACATGTGCGTATTATTTTCTACTAAAGAAACTTCGAAAATTACTAAAGTTAGATATGTGACATACTTATCATTATTTAAACCAGCACAAACCAGCAGTAAAGGTAACTTGATGGGCAATTCAACCAGCACACAATATACAGGATGTTCTAGAAAACTTATGAAAAAGCCATTTGAAAAACGTCAAAATTAACTAAGCTTTATGAACACGCTGTATAGCGTATGTAATATCTTTGGATACTATCATTTATCTAGTGGCTTTGACTATTATCTGACATAGTTTCAAAGCAAAATTGGAAAAAATGTTACATAATTTTTAAAAACATCCTGCAATGGACACATTTTGGAAAAACCATTGAATATCTCAGGAACTATGAACGCTATGAGTTAGTAACATATACAGTTGCATAAACAAATTTAATGCTATTCACAATATGATAAAATATATAGGGTGTTCCATTTAAAAATATCTACATACTCTCCGTCACGACTAAATGGAACAGCCTGTATAAGGGAAAATAATTTTTTGTAATAGAATCAAACAACTTTTATATAAAACATTTTTTTCTTTCTCAAACGGTTTAGCAATTATCGTCGTAATATACATAACTCACCCTGTATACAGTGTCCGCCAAAAAGTCAGCAACACCCGTTTTATTTCTGTTCCATTGCATCAAAGTTCCTGAAATTTAGCTTATATGGGAGGCTTATACCGATCTTTCGATCTAAAGTATTTTCAAGAAGGTGGCCACTTCCGGTCCACCGGAAGTAAACCTTAACTTCGTTATTCTAAATGGAATGCTATAATTTTTATGTTGACTTTGATAAATGTCACTGGTACCTAGCATTTTTCGTATTATTATTATTAAATTGATTGTCATTTGTTGTATCACAATATCTTATACAGGGTGATCAAAAATTAAATTATCGTTTCTCCATATTCAATGGCAAGAAAGTTGAAAATTTTAAATGGAACGCCCCATTTTTTTTTTAACCTAGCAGAATGAGAGATTAAATTTTTTATCCAAACCTAATTTTTGTTTTCATTGTTTCATTTATTTGTTCTTCTGTTTGTTATTTTTGGTAAATAAAAGATACTAAACTAAAAGATTATCAACCAAAGTTAATTGCAAAAATAAATTAAACGAAAAACTGTCAAAATATCATGGCCTAATAAATGGCAAACTCCCTTTCTGGTGAGCTAATAAAGTTGTTAATTTTCGACTTTGTTGTCATTAAATGCGTGCCACTTTTTGACCATTCTGTATAAGATACTGTGATACAGACAATCTATTTGACAGCATTTGAAGAGTAATCGTGCCAATTTAGAGCTTTTGTGAATGAACGTTTGCTGAGATATGGAGTTTTAAATCAGTTTTACCAATAACTTTTATCAAAGTCAACTTATTTTTTCGCATATAATGTCTACTTCCGGAGAACCGGAAGTGGCCACCATCTTAAAAATACTTTAGATCGAAAGATCGGTATGAACCTCGTATATAAACTAAATTTCAGAAGAAAAAGAAGGTGTTGCTGACTTTTTGGCGGACACTGTATAAAACACCAAGTGTAAAAGTTATTATTAATAACAACGTTAGATGAATAACTTGTTAACGCAGCCATAATCTAAACTCGACTTTCTTAAAAAGTAAATTCGATCAGTACTCTTATTACACCGCTCATTTTAAATAACAAATTTTATCAGAAATAATTATCGAATGATAAATGAAGCAATCTTGCGAGTATGCGATATACTTAATAATTAAGTAGCCGTGGTGGAGTGATGAGTTCGCAAATTGAGTGGGCGGAACTATTCATAGGGCTGGGAAAGTAAATAAGCGGGCAGAATTGGTTTACTTCGACAATAAATAGTTGGGATGCGCAAACATCTGTAACAAAAACCGTGAATCATTAAACATAATAATCAACACAACGTTTTGTCCGATGTTAGTATTTGTCAATCAAAATAAACATTAAGAAAGCCATGATGTCAGTAATATATTAGTGAGGATAATGAAGAAGAAGAAAATTCTTTGTATGTACTAGCGCCATCTCTTAAAATCTATTATTACTAATTTCAGTTCTTATTTAATCCGATTTTTATCATCTTGTTGGCCTCATTAACTAACAGCTGGATTTATCTTTTGGAAAAAAGTCACATTTTTAATATTTAGAAAAAGACAAAATCATCACTTTTGAAATAATTTCATTGAATTTCGATTTTTAAATTTATCTCTCTGTGAGAGTGCGTTATTTTTTAACAGTAAAGTGATCTCCTTAAGTACCTGCCAAAAACTAACACAAAATCAAAAAATTTAAAACGTTTTTTTGATTTATGAATTTAAATAAACACAAATTTCTTTATTAATGCACTTCAAAAACGGTTTTGTTTGGTTTTCGCTCTGTAGAGCAAAAAGCACAGTAAAAAAAGTAGCATGTTTCGTGTATGTCCCTTTATTTTATTTTTTTTTCTTGTATTTTTTACATTTTACGCCAGCTTAAGCATCAAAAAAAGAAAACTTCCTTATGTAGTACCTAGTTGAGTTCTTTTTTTTAAATTAATTAAATTATACGTTTATTGTGTAGTTAGTATTTTAGGTTTATTACTCATAACTCTGTGAAAATTATCCAAAAATATAATTAAAAAAAAATATATTAAAAAATAAACCGCCGATGCTCCTTTGGACTCCTCCTGTACATATCGGCCTAGCTTTATTTTTTTAAATTGGGGCTTCGGGTGTAGTTTTTATCCACCCCTCTTATTACTTTTTTTTTTTTCAAGAACACTTTTTTGGGCTTTTTTGGTAATATTTATTTAATTTCTTTTTCACTGCTTCGGGCTTGTGTATGTACGGGAGTGTTCAGAGTGCATCTCGTCCTAATTTTTGTTTTCGAAATTTAGATTTTTTTTGGTGAAGGTTTATAATGTACCGTTTATTTTTTTCTTTGAATAAACATTCTGAGACCTGTTTTGATGCCTTTTAATTTTTTCTTTCTCACAAGCATGACTTATTTCGTATTAGTAGTTGTACCTTTTTCCTTTTATTTATTTATTTATTTAATTTTTTTTTGGTAGCACGGATCATCCTTTATCTTCTCCTTAATTATTTTTAATGAATCCTGTAATATTTTTCCATTTGTATTAATTTTATATTAATTATTACACTCCGCTTTATGTGTTTTTTTTTAATAAGGAGATTGTTGTTACAATTTTTTTGGTTTTTAGTTTTTCTTAATAAATTTGAAACACTTTATGTGATTTTATTTTTATAGCTAATTTACATTAATTAATTTCTTTTAAAATTTATTGGTATCTTGAACTCCGCCGAACTCCTATGGTTTTATGTTTGGATTTGACAGATTTTGTACCGCCAGAAGATTGGGCCCCGGAATATCCCATCCCTGGAACTGGAATTAGACATAATGTGCCTATACCGACTTTGTACAATATAGACGGTAACCCCCATTTATTTCAAATCAACTTCTTGTAGATAATAAATATTATTTTAGGATTAAAAACTAAACCAAAATTGGGAATCATCGAATTGGTTTTATATAACTTAGCGGCGATGTTAGCTGGAGTTGCTTCTGGTTATGATGTTCGGTTATCAAACGTTTCACCCGTTCATCCAAAATTGCAACCTCACAGGTAAAAACCAATAATAAGCATTCCTTTATTAAACCTATTATTTTCTAATGAATGTGCAAATAATAGTCGTACTTTAACGATGAAAAAGTTTATTTAGTTTTTCAGTTTCTACCGGTTTCGGCGTGTTAATGCCATCCTCAGGAATCATACACTCTATATCATTGAAAGATAAATTAATAAAAATAAATCTTAAGGTGCTCCACCTAAAGGTACTACACCTATATATTTAATAACAATAAAATTCATTCTATAAATCATATATAAAGCATTCATAAGCATAGATTTTTAAGCAACTAAAATACTCAATAAAAATTATAAAACTATGCAACGCTCTTAAAAATTACTCAAAAACTAAGTAGCAATAACAAATAAATAATATTTTTGTGTTTTTTATTTTTTTTTAAATTATTTAACTTTTATTTTATTTATTTATTTTTATCTATAAAACTTGTCGCACTTTTGTTAAAAATTATCCACCACTCATCACATTTGTCTATGTTTTTAATTTCTTTCTCTGATTTAGGCCATACCATGCCTTTAACTAACATACTACACTCCAATCTGCACCTTTCCTCAAATTTATTTTTGCACTTAAATAGAACATACATAGATGTTCCGATCTCATCACCACACATACACAAAGGAGATTCAAATTTTCCAATTCTGTTCAAATACTCCTCAAAATTGCCATGACCAGTAATTAACTCTACAGTTTCTGGTTTTAAAAATCTACAAACCCTACCAATTCTTGGTATAAACTGATGAGTCAATCTCCCGGTCACTGAGTTATCCCATCTATCTTGCCATTTTTTCAACATAAATTTCCTAATCCTATTTTTAACTGATCTCTTAGAAATCACATTTAAATCAATTTGTAAATCTTCGCAGATCGAAGCTTCTTTAGCCAATTGATCCGCTCTCTTCCAAAGGTTCTGGATTTTTTTGTTGAGCATTCTTAAATAGTATTCTAAGAATTAAAAACTAGACAATGCATCGAAGCGGGTAGGAAAATGTTTAAAAATTCATAAACCTTATTTGTTCTTGCTAGATTATAAACGTTAGTTAATTGTTTCTGAAGATGTTTCAATTTTTTTTTGAAAAGATGTTTTGCCGTTGTACAGGGTGGACAAATTTGGGTGTTATTATAAGCTATCTCAGAAACTATAAGAGATACGAAAAAAGTAGGTGCCATGTCTCGGTCTCTTTTTCCGAGACTAATCCAATCCCGCAAATACCAAACCTCTATCTTCTTTTGTTTTAAAGTTATAGCCGAAAAGTCAAATTTTAGCGATTTCAAAAAATGCTCATATTTCGTTTATTTTTGAAATTAGAGAAATGGGGTTAATGCATTCTTAAGACACTTTTTTGAGTAGAATATAATGTCGTTGAAAAATTTTCAACATAGCTGATAATTTTTGAGATATAACATAAAGTTGTGTTTGTTTAAATACAAACTATAGTTGATTATGATGTTATTGATTATCTTTAAATAAAATTAAATATAGAATATATTGGAGTCTGCTTTGCAGATGATACATAAGTCTTCATATCCTCATTGAAACGGTGCTTCAATGGAAAATCCGCCCCCAGTTTATGATCCCTAATTTCCTGTATCTCACCCAATTTCAAAATTGATATCCAATGATATATACAAAATGATTGCTGATATCAAAAAACTTCTAAATCTTATGTTTGTGGGAAAATATTACCGAAGATTTCATTTATTGATTCCGAACTGTTCTAATCTTACAACCAGTAAGTTTAGTAGAAGAAGATGATAGTTTGTGACTGTTTAGTTCCTGAAGTTGTCCATATTTAATTATTCATTAATTAATACATTTCTTGTATTTTTAATAAACAAACTTTCTAACCATTTTTTATTGGTGAACAAAGTCAGGGATAAGATGCTGAGAAATTTAAATTAACTATTCAAAGTTTTTATTCGTTGGTACAAAACCAACTTTATCCTGTCANTTTTGTTGAGCATTCTTAAATAGTATTCTAAGAATTAAAAACTAGACAATGCATCGAAGCGGGTAGGAAAATGTTTAAAAATTCATAAACCTTATTTGTTCTTGCTAGATTATAAACGTTAGTTAATTGTTTCTGAAGATGTTTTAATTTTTTTTGAAAAGACGTTTTGCTGTTGTACAGGGTGGGCAAATTTAGGTGTTATTATAGGCTATCTCAAAAACTATAAGAGATACGAAAAAAGTAGGTGCCATGTCTCGGTCTCTTTTTTCGAGACTAATCCAATCCCGCAAACACCAAACCTCTATCTTCTTTTGTTTTTAAGTTATAGCCGAAAAGTCAAAGTTTAGCGATTTCAAAAAATGCTCATATTTCGTTTATTTTTGAAATTAGAGAAATGAGGTTAATACAAGGGTTAACATTCTACAGGAACTTTTTTGAGTAGAATATAAATGAATATATAATGTCGTTGAAAAATTTTAAACATAGCTGATAATTTTTGAGATATAACATAAAGTTGTATTTTTTTAAATACAAAGTATAGTTGATTATGGTGTTATTGAAAAGAGCATATTTTCAGCTTTCCAATGAGCGTTATTTTTCAATTCTAAAATATTAAAGATTAATATTGTTTAAGAAGTTCCGCATTATCTTTAAATAAAATGATAAAATTAAATATAGAATATATTGGAGTCCGCTTTGCAGATGATACATAAGTCTTCATATCCTATAGTCCAATGGAAGTCAAAAGAAAAGATTGCTGATATCAAAAAACTTCTAAATCTCATGTTTGGGGAAAACTGGGAAAATACTACCGAAGATTTCATTTATTGATTCCGAACTGTTCTAATCTTACAACCAGTAAGTTTAGTAGAAGAAGATGACAGTTTGTGACTGTTTAGTTCCTGAAGTTGTCCATATTTAATTATTCCTTAATTAATACATTTCTTGTATTTTTGATAAACAAACTTTACTCGCTAACCATTTTTTATTGGTGAACAAAGTCAGGGATAAGATGCTGAGAAATTTAAATTAACTATTCAAAGTTTTTATTCGTTGGTACAAAACCACCTTTATTCTGTCATATTCGTGCAAAACCATATCATAGGCGCTTACTATTTTGGAATTGAAAATTAACGCTTATTTTCCGCAACGACACCATACATGCGATACATCATTGCAAAGCTAAAAGTATGCTCTTTTCAGTAACATAATAATAATAATAAGTTTATTGCCACAAACAGGAGAAAAATAATATATATGTATACATAAATGAATTAATTAATAGTGTATGTTGACAAAAGGTCAGTTTATCGCCAAGAGCGATGTCTTTCAAAAGACCCAACCAGCAATGTATGTAAAAAAACATAATCAATATGGCATTATTAAATAATTCAAAATTTAAGTAAAAAGAGGAAAAAGAGCAGAGAAAAAAAAGGAAAAGAAGAGAATGTCACCTGCCATCAAGAGTTAGATTCAGATAATTGCAGTGTTAATAGATAATCCCTTAAGCAGACCTTAAATGTTAGAAAACTATTAGGTAAACTATTCCAAAGCTTTATAGCCTGCACCGTGAAACATCCATGATATCTCTCGGTGCGATGAATGGGAAATATGAGTAAGGTATCAGACTGTGTTCTAGTAGGCAGACCACGAGACGACATGAATTGAAAGTTCGTGTACAAATATACTGGGGTCCGAGAAGAAAGTATCTTACATAACGTAGTCAGTATACGGGAGGATCTGCGCTTTTCGACAGTCAACATACGAAGGTGATTTCGATATTGCGTCACATGGTCGTACCTACCCAGGTCAAAAATAAAGCGTAGGCAATTGTTCTGCAGTCTTTCCAATTTGTTGCGGAGGGAAATTGCTAGGTCGGGATACACCGCATCAGCATAATATATGTGGGGCAGTATTAATGAGTAACAAAGATTATGACGGACAGCAAGGGGAAGGAAACAACCAAGTTTACGCAAGGAATGAAAACAAAAATAGACCTTCCTACAAACAGACTGAATTTGACACCGCCAAGACAGCGCTGAGTCCATTGTCACTCCCAAGTTTTTGACCGTATGGGTGAAATGTATAACATTGTCACCAAGTATCAGTTGCGTATTATTGAAAGAGTAAAATTTTGCAAGTAAAGATTTTGAACCGAATGCTATATCTTGTGTCTTGGCAATATTTAAACTCAGGCAAAAACATTTACACCAGTGAAGTATCCTGGACAGATCGTCATTAAGCCGCGCCATGGACACTGGGAGCTCATTCACAGTTGTTGATGTATAGATTTGAAGATCATCCGCATATAAGTGATAATTGCATGAAATGAATTTGGTAACACTGTAATAATCAAGTATAGTTTGTATTTAAAAAAACACAACTTTGTGTTGTATCTCAAAAATCATCTAATACGTTTAAAATTTTTCAACGGCAGTATATTCTGCTTAAAAAGGTATCTTAAAAACGTATCAACCCCATTTCTCTAATTGGAAAAATAAACGAAATATGAGCATTTTTTGAAATCACGAAAATTTAACTTTTTGGCTATAACTTAAAAACAAAAGAAGATAGAGGTTCGGTGTTTGCGCGATTGGATTAGTCTCGAAAAAAGAGACCGGGACATGGCACCTACTTTTTCCGTATCTCTTATAGTTTCTGAGATAGCCTATAATAACACCCAAATTTGCTCACCCTGTATACTGGCAAAACCACACAGTAAAATTTTTTTATTTTTTTTTGAATTACTTTGCTTTTATTCACATCACAGATTCCGATTTTACATTAAAATATAGGGCGCCATTTCAAAAATTGGCCGTGACCTTCATATAACCATGAAAATAAGATCAAGGTCAAAAAATGTTATCGTCATATGGTTTCCCCCTTCGCACAGAACAACTTTCATTTGGTTCATTTTTATGTAAAATGAACCGTTTTCGAAATAATCGCTTATCTCACGTTAAATGGACCACCCTGTATAGTCTCTACAAAGATGAACCTGTTTTAAGTTTAGAAAATTGTTTCGCTGCATATCATTCAGCGTAAAATAATTTTTGGTTTTATAAAACATTGTAAAATCTAAAACATATTTGTAAAATTTATTTTGGTCCAGCAATTAAGTAGATTTAGATTAGTTCTTCCATTTATTACTTCGTGGTATATGATATATAGCAATAGGCTTGACACATTCTAAGATTGTTGTTGGGACTATAATTGAAAAAAGATCATGAACAAAAATATAGAAAGTAAGATAGAGTAGAATGAAGTAAGGGAGGCAGATTCCGAATTCGATATAATCGCTTGTCTCACGTTAAATGGACCACCCTGTATGATTCCTGAGGATGGCATTAACACGCCGAAACCGGTAGAAACTAAAAAAACTTTTTCATCGTTAAAGTATCAGTTGTACATTCATTAACACACACGATGATAAAAAGGAATCAAAACACAAATAATTACTTTTTAGATCTGAACCAAGCGGTTATGAAGTTCAACCATGGCGTACAGAACCGGAGTTTGATTATTCAACATCCACATTTAGCCACAACACCTATCACGGGCCAATTCGTCACTATCGCCCATTACTTTCCAATTCGCAATTAATGCCTTCACAACAACAGCAGCAGCAACAACAACAACAACACGATAGCGGCCAATTTACTGATTCCCCTCAACACCTACCTTTAATAACACCAAATCCCTCACCTAGAAGAAAATCTAGTTCGACTAGTAACGATGGAAGCGAACTTTACACTCCTTACGATCGAGCGGCAACAATTTACATCCCTGGTGATTATAATTGCCAAATGAACGAATCTGCAACTCCCCAACACATTTTAGGCTGTTGTATACGACCGGAAAATAACTACAGGGCTGAAACGAATTTAGGATTTAATTTTCATCCAGGTGATTGTATTCATAGTTCGGAATATAGTAGTGGAACTACGACTTTATACGGTTATAGCACTGATTATGCTTATGATAATCCAACTAGTAGTTCAATAAGCGTTAGTAGTCAAAGCGGATCGAGAACGCCCCAAAGATTATTAAGCGGACATCGAAGAACGCCATCAAACGTCTCTTCGAATTCCGGGAGTATTATTAATCCGTTTCGAATGGAAGATGATAACAGTTCTTATACTCCTCCGAGTCATTTTGTTAGAAGATATCCCCCCACGATTGAAACGACGGCGACATCAAACGAGTACAATTCGATTTATTCAAGGCAAAATTCGCACGAATCGATGACGACGAATAATTTTGAACGACCGACGACGTTGGAAACGGGTGGTTATACGAAGTTACGGTCGAGTTTGAAAAAAAATAACTTTACTTCGAATAATCAACAAGGGCATTCGGGTGGGAACACACCAACTAATCCAACGCCTCCGGATAGTTTAACGAGCGATGATAGTTCTTACGTTTCGGCTAAGGATAGTAATTGTTCGGTGAGTAGGGTGAGGTTTTCGCCGATTTTAATGGATCTTAATGTGCACGAAAATTCTTCGATGGCTTTACCCGGTAGAAGAACAAGACAACGACCGTCTTTAGCTGATATTGAAAAAGAATTTGCTTCGTAAGTTATAATTATGATTAATTTCGGCGGGTTAAAAAAAAACTTAATTTCTTTCAAGTTTTTTAAATGATTTTTTTTTTGGAAAGAAATGGTACAAATAATCTAAAAGAAAAGTAATCATGATAAATTAAAAAAAAAATTTAATGATTAGATTTGTATATTGTATACTATACAGGGTGATTCAAAAAACCGCTGACAGACTTCTAGGGCAGGTAATACATCAAAAATTAAGATGAAAAGTCTTAATATACATGGGGGTCGCAAATGTCTCCTTAACGAGATATAGCGGGTCAAAGTTTCTTTAAAATTAAACATTATCTGCAATAAAACTCCACTGCTGATTTTGTCAAATGGCTCTCTTACAAAACTTTGATTGAATTAACAAATTTTCTACAAACGTGTTTTTCTTAAAAACCATTGCTTTGATCAAACTTTTGTAAGAGACCAATTGTAAGATAATTGATCACTTTACACGCGTAGAGAGCAATGGCGTAGACAATATTTTTAAAAAAGTGCTTTTTATTGCAGATAATGTTTAATTTTAAAGAAACTTTGATCCCCTATATCTCGCCAACGAAGCATTTCCGACCCCATGTATATTAAGACTATTCATCTTAATTTTTCATGTATTATCTACTCTAGAAGTCTGTCAGCGGTTTTTAGAATCACCCTGTATATTGTTTATTGGTAAAATGTAGAATATTAATATTTTATAAAATTAATCTATTAATTAACCATGTGGAATTTCAGTTCTAAATTATTTCATGGGTTTAGTAGCTTTCAAAATTGTTTATTAGTTTTTCTTCATTTGAAGACAATTCCTTTAAGTTTATTTTATTTTTTAACTATACAGGGCGTGTCAAATGTCTGGAATATATAACTTCGCCATTTGTGGTTTTAAAGAAAAATGTTTCAAATACAAGTTTCTTTATTAATCGTGGCGCATTTTTTGGTAATATTTGCTTGTTTGTATTGTTTCTTGTTTCGTTGCTATGGCAACCAACATTATTATTTTAAATGGGATGCATATATTTTTTTTACATACTTTGATAGAGGATAAATCCCTCTATCTTGTCATCTTCTCATGGTTGTATGTATAAGAAAATCGAGAAACTGCGTATTAAATCAGCAAATTACAATCAAAGTAGGCGCCAAAATAACGTCGTTGACAGCTTTAAATGTCAAAAAATGACTGTTTCAACAATTATGAATAATGTATGATTACAGTGATACACATTTAATGTAGTTTCGTCATTTGGTAGTCCACTTTTTGGAAGGTTTTTTTTAACACTTCCGGTGTTAAAGAATTTTTTTAATATTTTGGATACTCTTGGATTGTGTAATTTGTGTATCCGGGTAAATATTATTGAACAGTGTACAAACTTCACTTTGAATACGTTTTCTATCACCGTATCCATATGTCGTTAACATTTGGATTCTTTGTCGTTTGCTTAATTGCGCCATATTTGTTTAAACTGTCAATTTTCTGACATTTAAAGCTGCCAACGGCGTTATTTCGGAGCCTACTTTGATTGTAATTTGCTGATTTAATATTTTCAGAGAACGCATTTTTTCTTGTTTTTTTTTTCTTATACTATATTATATTTACCCTCTACTAGCTGTACCCTGCACGCGTTGCTACGCCACCAACTAAAATAAATTTGAAGGAAAGACATTACGTAAATATTCAATTCATTTTGAATCATTTTATTGATTTTAAAGAAATCAATCCTCTAGAAACCTTCGTGGGCTCATGCACAACAACTTTGCTAAAGATCATCACATGATCAAATGTATAGTTTACGATTCTATAAAGGACATACAGACAAACATTCATTTTTATATACAGGGTGTCACACAAAAAACGCCCCAAGCTGTAACTCTGTCATTTATATTCCGATTTTCATGACTATGGCATCAAATGAAATGGTTTGATGAATACTATGATTCATGCTACAAATAAATTTTTTTCAAGGCCATCTTCAATTTTAAGCGATTATTAATTTTTGTTTTTCAAATTGCTCGGTATGTTTTTCTTCACGCTATGGATAGAGATCTTTTTTCTGAATCCATTAATGTACAATACATCAACATTAATTGTAATTGTAGCATGGGAAAACATTAAATTAGTTTCCTAACATTCTCTTAAACTCACTTGTGTTATACTGTAGTGTGTCATGGGATACATAAAAAAACAACTTATAAGTATCATTTATATACAGGTGTTTTTTCTCTGCTAAAATTACATTTAAAATGGATGTATTGTACATCAATGGATTCAGAAAAAAAATGTCTATCCAATGACGTGAAAAAAATATACGCAGCAATTTGAAAAACAAATCGCTTGAAGTTGAAGATAGCGTTGGAAAAAATTTATTTGTAGCATGAATTATAGTATTTATAAAACCATTTAGTTTGATACGTGTGTCATGAAAATCGGAATGTAAATAACAGAGTTACAGCTTGGGGCATTTTTTGTGTGACACCCTGTATATAGATCAAAATATGCAAAAAAAACATATAATGCATCCTATTTAAAATATCAATGTTGGTTGCCATAGCAACGAAACTAAAAACAATAAAAATGCGCCATGATTAATAAAGAAACTGGTATTTGAAACATTTTTCTTTAAAACCACAAATGGCGAAGTTATTGGCTATATTCCAGACATTTGACACACCCTGTATATACCCTGCATATCTTTTTATTTTAATAACTTCTCTTAATCTTCTGCATTGAAAACACAATTTTTCACTGATATTTTTTCCCATTCTATAATTAGTACTGTTTTAAGTATGTCTTTTGATGTGTTTCGTCTTTTCGGATAACACTCTCCAAATCTCCCCATAAGTACTAGATTGGATTAAAATTTGGGAATTAAGGCAGCGTTCTTAAAGTACTTAAGTTATCAAAAATCCAAAGTTTTATATTGTGAATTTTTATGAAATTGTTTAAACCAACAGGGTTGGAGTGACTTAAATAACTGTATAGATACCTCCGTTTTCTATTTCTTGTAATGCTCATCAATATTGATATTGCCTTCATCCATAACCATGTCTTAAACTTGCTAAATGGACGTCTTTCGTCACTGCAGCTTTGTTTTTGGACAAGACTGTTTTATGATGAAGTTTCCCTTTGTAACATCTTGCCATGTACTTTGATATTAAGTGGTCTTTCTAAGATTCTCGAAGGAAATCTTGGAAGAGAGAGGAGATCTCTGCTTGGTTTAGATGCTATAGAATAGAAGTGCTGGAGAACTTTGATAAATTTAACTCTTCTTCTTTTCTTTCAAATTCCATGACTCTTTTAGGCAATCTGTCTGTCGGTAGTCTTTTCGCATGTCTTTCTGCAACATCTTTGCCATTTCCATTACATAATTCTGCTCTGTAGGTTTCAACACTTTCGATGTGAGTTTTATTTATTACATTCTACATTTATAGAGCTTGTAGGGCATATAATGCAGGATTAGATTATTTTAAAACTATTAAAGATCTCGTGGCTCATCATGTCTCACAGTAACTCCAAAATTTTGTGTCTACACTATCTATCTTGTGAGCTGCTTCTTCTCTGCAAAAGTCTAGATTATAGACGTGCTGAGCTTGTACTAAACACTCTTTGAGGATAGCTTCTTAAAGTGAAGATAACAAGGAAATCTGTAGTTATCGAACGATGAAATCTAGAAAAATAGGTTCTTGATCTTTTTCAGATACGCCAATCCCTTGGAGTTCATTGCATCTGCCATATCTTCTCTCCATGTTCTTAGACCATCCACGCTTCGCCTTATTGTGTGGAACTCTTTTAGGCCATCTGTCTGCCGGTATTCTTTTCGCATGTCCTTATGCATTATGTCAATATTAAGTGGTCCTTCCAAGTTATCCAACAGCCAAATAGGCTTTTTGTGAAGAGCTTCTTAATGTTGAAGATCTCTGCTTGGTCTAGATGCTGTAGAATTTTGACGTTTTATGTTTTCCAATTTGTTCCACATTAAGTAAATGCTTTTTGTAAGTAAATGCTGAAATGGGTATATAATGCAGGATTAGATCATTTTTCATGGGTTTGTGACATCCGCTCCTTTTGTTGTTATGCAAGTCCTCTTTGAGATCTTCTTTTTAAAAGTTCCTGTTTCGGCACTGTTGAAGATTTGATTCTTTCCTTCCCATGATTTCAATAAAAGTCTTAAAGATCTCGTAGCTCATCGTGTCTCACAGTAAATCCGCAATTTTGTATCTATATTATCTATCTTGTGAGCTGCTTTTTTTATGCAAAAGTCTAGATATTGATGTGCTGAGCTTGTACTAAACACTCTTTGAGGATAGCTACTTAACGTGAAAATAACAAGGAAATCTGTAGTTATGTAACGATAAAATCTTCTGATGAAGGTTCTTCATCTTTTCCAATATTCTGCCAATCCTTTGGAGTTCATTGCATCTGTCTTATCTTCTCTCCAGATTCTCTTGGGCTATCCGCCCTATTATGAGCACTCATTCCATGAGTCTTACGCCATCTGTCTTTATGCATTATGTACTTATGTCAATATTAAGTGGTCCTTCCAAGATTCTCGAAGGGCATCTCAATCCAACTGCCAAATAGGTTTTTTGTGAAGAACGTTGATAAATTTAACTCTTCGAAGATGTCTTTTTTGTCGTTCATGTTTCCAATTTCTTTCCCATAAACCTTGTATGGCATATAATGCAGGATTAGATTATTTTTCATGGATTTGTGACATCCTCTTCTGTTGCTGTTTTATAAATTCTCTTTTACACCTTCTTTTTAACACAGTTGAAGAGTTCATTCTTTCCTTCCTATAATTTCAGTAAAACTTAAGAATCTCGTGGCTCATTATGCCCCACAAAATAGCCGCAAATTTGTGCGTACACTATTTAGCTTGCGAGCTGCCTTTCTGCCAAAGTATAGCTTGTTAAAGTGAAAATAACAAGGAAATGTGTAGTTATTTAATGATGAAATCTAGCAAAATAAGTTCTTCATCTTTTCTAGTTACGCCAATACCCTGGAGTAAATTGTATCTGCCATATCTTCTC